CTGGAGCATGTGGGTATCAGTGCTCCAGATAGTGACATCATCTGCGTACATAGCTACGTTCGCAGGCAATGCACTGTATAGATCGTCAGTTCAGTTCGGTTCCAGGACTTTGGTAGGGTTTTTCAGTTAGTTCAGTTTCTTGCAGCGGTGTGCTCCAGGGATCCCCCGATGCTCCGACAGATGGAAGAGGGAGATGACTCCTTCAATTTTGCGATCAAATACTTCAGAAGAGTTGGATGTTGACCTTCCACTCTCGCGCCACATTCCGGTCTCGCTTAATGGATCAGGGCAGCAGGCCCTTACACCGGCATCAACCAAGGTAAAACCCCGGCCGAAAGGGATGGGGAGTTCTAGTGGTAAGTTAGTGATCGTGTAATGGTGACGGCATGGGGGTATGATATGGAAAGAATAGAAGATAGTAGTAATGGATAGAGAATGAGAGAGTAAGTGAGAGAAGGTTGGGGAGAGAGGACAAACAGTGTGGGGAGGAGGGAGTAGAGCTTCCGGACAATCACGTTGCTCAGGCGGCTTCTTAGGTGAAAAGGCCTTGCCATACAGCGTCCACGCGGGTCTTGAAGCTCTTCACCCAACTGGAATTGACTACTTCATTAGGTAGTCTGTTCCAGTCGTTCACCATCTTTATGGCAAACGATTGCTGCCTTATGCGTGTGGAAACCCTGACCTTAGCTAACTTAAGGTCGTTACCCCTTAACATTGAGTTCTCGCTGGGAGGTTATAGTGGTCTCGTTTCTCCCCCAATGTTATCTTAACCCTTTAGGAGCTTGAATGCCTCAATCAGGTCTCCCCTCCTTCTTCTCGCCAGTGAGAAGAGCTCGAGCCTCTCAAGCCTGTCCTCATATCTAAGGTTCCGTATTCCTGGGAACCGTTCGGTGAAATACCGCTGCGTCTTCTCGAGTACTTTTATATCCCCAACTAGATATGGGCTCCAGGCCTGGATACAGTACTCCAGATGAGGGCGCACAAAGGCCTTGTACAGTGATAGTACAACCTCCGGCCTTCTGGAGCTGATTGCTCTCTTCAGTTAGTGAAGAGCTCCTAGTGCCTTTCGTGCCGCTTGTCGGCACTGTGCACTTGGTTTGAAATC